GCATGATCCAAACATTCTAATTGATGCACTACTTCAATATACAAACTATTACAAATGACCCTCTAAACATTGCACTCCAGAAACTATAATATAAATTATATTAAACAATTATGCATCAAGTTCCTCATACATTCCATGGCATTAACATTCTAATTGATTAAAMATTCCACTCGATAACTTTCTACGTCTTACCTCGCTTAAGTCTCCCATCTGCTGCAGCTGATCCACCGGGTAAAACACTTTTCACGTAAATAGGCAGATCCCCTCTCGGGCTTCCTTTGCCACCCACGATAGTAAACCCCAGTCCCTTTCCGGATACACCCTTGACAAGAACCACAGTAATAACGTCCCCATCAGCGTGATTTTCAGTACTTAATTTTTGAGGAGATTCCCTAATATTTGTCCCTACAGACATGATAGGTGTTGGGRTCCCTTGGGTGGAAACGGTRTCGTTGGTCCCAAGATAGAGCCCTGAGGTATCACTACCTCGTGGTGTTGTCGGTGACCTTGGGCGACTGKGAATTGTTTGTTGYGTGTCTAGACTTCGTTTTCGGAGAGAGTTGGACATTTTCTGCTTWACCCTCTTKGCCCCGTCRAGTACGGGCGTGGTTACGTGTTTTGTTGCGTTAATCTCGCCCATTGTCGAGATGCCTGATTCTTGTCGTGTTAACGATTTGCTTTCTAAAGCAACAGGTTCACTGTCTGTGCTGTTGTCATCCCGTTGGTATAGAAACTCAGACGATATGGTTCTTATAAGCCTTTTAACTTTGGCGCCAATTTTGGATCCCTGTGAACTTAGCGAGGAAATACTCGACGACCTTGACACRGATGTCTGTGGGGTTGAGGGATTATGATCATTGGTCTGCTTGGAAATAGAGTCGATTGATTGTGCTTTGGCAAGCCTTGGTCGTGAGAAAACCTTGAACGAACCTTTCTTGCTGTCTTTACGTTCGATRATGTTATCGTTGCCATCTTTGCTGGACATCATACTGTCCAGAGATCCACGTTTTACCAAGGAACCTCGGCCTCCCATTACGCTTTCTGATGTATCTTTTGACATATCTAAACTGTTCCTTCTCCTCTGAAAAGGATTTGAAAATTTTCTTTTGGGTTTCTTGACAGAGTCCGAGGTACTACTCTCTTTGGAGTCCTTAGAGTTACCGGTAATTGGCAATTCTCTCTTGGAATTTGGTTCAACGTTCTCCGTTACCATTTTRGCAGTTTTCCTATCCGCGACTCCAGTTACCTCTTTAGTCTGTACRGTAGTTTCCATGGAAGCAAAGGCGTGATCATTGCTATCACGTGATTTTGAGGCAGCCATGGTAAACAGTTCATGATTCGCATCATAATCGACAGGAAATTTTTCCGTCGACTTGACARCAAATTCGTCACCAACAAGAGACTTTTCTGACATCTTGGCAACAGTTTCATCGTCAAAAAAAGAATTTTCTGTCGTCATAGTAACATCGGTTGTCTTGGCAACAGTTTCGTCATCAAGAGGCTTTTCTATAATTTCGGAATCAAGGCCGTGGTTTTCTTTGGTATCCTCTTCAGTAGTAGACTTCGCAACTGTGGGAGGCCCTTTCACATCATTCAAAATATTCTCCATGGATTTCGATATCTTTTTCTTGGGCGSTTTTTGTGCACCGTTCTTACTGCTTGCAAGGTTTTCAGACGATTTAGTCTTAATTTGTTTATGATCTTTGGATGGTTTTGTTGGTGTTTTTGTTGAGAGCTTTGYCTTGTCGTTCGGAGATCGTTTTTCCGTTGATACAGGAATCTTGCTGGTTTTTGRTCTGACTCCTGATGGACTGATTTTTCTGTCTTTTTTGCTATTTTGTTGATTGGTCGCTGTTGGACGTGTTTGGGAGGTTTTCCTTGTAGCTGTAGAGGATGGGCCATTGTCCTTAAAAAAGACAAARACAGGTATTACAAACAAGGAATAAGAAGGAATTGAGAACTAAAACTGGTCTGTGGAAATTGAAAAAATTTTGYTGAAAATGTTCCGAATTGCCTATGATTACGCCTAAAGGATATGCAATCTGACTGGTGTGTTCAGATTAAAAAATTAATCATTATATAGCATTGTATTCTTTAAATAGTTTGTCTCTTTTTATCAATGCAAAAGACAGGGATCTGAAAACATGCCAGCAGATAGTTGACTGACACAGACCATTCTTACCTCAGTGGATATCACCATTTGTATCAAGGGAGGAGAGGCTCGTAAGAAGTCTATGGCTTGCTGCTGGGTGGCACCAATCAAACTATGCTTGTTAATCCACAATAGCTCATCCCCAACTTTAAGACGACCATCCCTGTAGCGACAGCGGTAAATTGGATATGACATATGGTGAGCATATTGAGGCTGCACAAAAGAACCCCCAAAAAATTGCACAAAAAATTGTTTACAGAAGTTGTGGATGCTGCAGTTTCACATTCCTTCCGGTTGTGAGATCCCAGAGTGCTACTCACCCTTCACATTCTCAGCAGGGGGTAGAAATAAGGGAGGGCTGAGAAGCTCACATTGAGAGAGTTTCATTCCTTCGCTTTTTATATGTTTTATGACAGTTTCAGTTGATTTCACCCCCTTATGAAACTGACCTCAAATGCACCCCCCTGAACATGATCATGCCCATAAGATTGTCTGTCTGTCCTTAATGTTCACCATACCTTTCTGCTGCACCACCACTGTTAACATGAGTCACAAAAATCCCTGTTGTACCAGTAATGTCATCATTACGCTGTGCTATTTGTATACCAAGTCCTCTATTGTCCTTCAGTATGTGGATTTTCTTGGTGACGTGACTCTATAAAATCATTATAGTTCATATATAGAATCTCAAATTATCACATAACATAAGAATAAAAAGAGAGCTATGCAGCATAAGCATAGCCATTGTTCTTATACGTCATAAGCAAAAAAGATGAACCAKAAAAATGTGTTTTGACAAGATRTGAGCACAAAATTTGACCACAGAAACATAAGAGAGTATCTTAAACACTTGTGGCTGTGATTATGTTTATTGCTATGCTTTATGCATTGATGAAAGGTGTTCATATTGTATTCTCTTTATGTCAATGTCTATGCTTATCATTATGCTTTTGTTTATGTCCTGTAAGAACAGTCATTCATTATTGGTCATACATTTCATCAAATATTATAACCTAGTCGTTCTTCACCACCTGTACCTCATGGTAACATTGACATATATGCATTAAAAACATTATAAATTCATCACCTGATCCAATGTAGAATGAGCATCCCCATTCACCATGGCAACAGAGCTGATGTCACGCGAAACTTTAATGACCAATTTCCCACTGCGCAGTGCACTACTTAAGTACAATCTGAGAAAAATCATTAAATAATTAATAAACTTTAAAATATGTATGATTGCATGACAGAAAAAATGAATTTAAATCAAGAATATTATGACACAAGTAGTTATTTTTGTGAAGTGTAAAAGAGATTGTTATCGTTTAGTAAAAGGGTATGAATGCAAAAAGTTGTGAAAGAGCACATGAAATATTTAACAATTTGGTTAAAAGGAACCAATCATGCAAACAGCTAATGCTAATAAACTGTACAAAATGAAAACATTTTAAATCATTTATCGCTTTTTAAGTACCAATATTTAACGCTGATTTTGGTGCAAAGTAAAACAAGTATATAAAACAATACGAAAATATGCTAATATGACGAAAATACCACTCAACTACAATATTTTTCTTCTAATCTGTAAAAATTACGAACATGGAATCATTTCAATGTCAAACGAATCAACACAAATTCATTTACGACATTTGAAGCCAGTTCAGTCACAAAACCGACTGTTTTCAAACTATTTCAGCAGGGAACCTAATCCTTCACTTATTAAACTCCATTTTATAGTTACCAATGAAGTAAAAACCTACCTTGCCCTCTCCAAACTTGCTTTGGTAAGGTCTCTTCCATTTAGTTCTAAAAGTTTGTCCCCAACTTTTAGACGATTGTCTATCGAAGCCGGACTATTGGGTATAATTCTAGCTATATGAGCGCACCCTAAAGAAACTTTCGCCTTCCCTGGAGTCTTGTTTGAAGTCTTGTTGTCCAAAACAACTCCAAAGTTCAACGGACATTTCTCAAATTCAAGAGTTAATGACTCAGAAACTGGTTGTGACGGACGCCGTCTTTTATAATTGTTATTTATATTGGTTGTCGATGGAATTGTGTCCATTGCCATTCCAGCTTTTTGAAGTACATCGTCTCCTATCCCATTATTTTGTGAAAATATAACATTGTTACTGTCAACAGACATTACTCGATCTCCCTCGCGACTAGTGCAATGTTTGGCAGCATTAAACACAACCTGACAACTATTTAACGTGCGCTATGGAACCATAATCACTACGGGACATTCCAACAGGCCAAGGTCTAGATAGATAAAATGGAACTCCATATTATCGTATTTCTAGTTTTCTTCACTTTGTAAGCTACCTTGGAAGTAAGAGAACTTCATAACTGATAAACCACATCACATTTACCACATCGCACCAAAGTAGTAGCGACTCGTTCTAGTTGTTTGCTTTGAAATCTTTGACCGACTTGTCACATTCAATAATGCGTGACGTAACCTCGGCAAACCTTACATTTTTACACACCCCCACCCCCACCCCCTAAGGATAGGTACTTCTTCCTAAAATTTGTTTCAAAGTTCCAAAATACAGTCGGTTTACAGTCGGTTTACATAGCCTATATTGGACCATATAGCCACCTAATACCTAAAAAAGAATTTCAATCACTTCTCGAAAAATGCTTTCAAGTGATTTTGACAGATTTTATCTCAAGTTATCCTACTTCTACATGTAACATGGACTCTGTATTGTATGCCTTGCACATTTTTCACTGAAACTGCATCAAATTTAAACCCTACAAGTTTCATTGAGATATGCAAAGACATGTAGAGTGGGACATTAACCACACCACAGGTAACCCAAATAGTGAAAATTCAAAATAAAGATCATAGAACAAGGTGAGATTTTTTATTATTTTTTACACTGCTGCATCTGACATTTATTCTCGATTCTTCATCTTTTCTCTGGCCATCTTCTTYTTAGAGACTTTCTTGACCTCCACCTCGTCCTCGGCACGTGGGACAACTTGTTCACGTTCAGATAGGATCAGTTCAACATGGCATGGAGAACTCATGTAGGCTAAACAGAAGTGACACTTGATTATTAAACTGCACAATTTCCTTGTACATTAAAGTGCAAGTACTACAATGCATTTCTATATAAAAAAGTTTGATGGGATAAAGGAGTCAAGTCTTCTTTAGTTATCTCTGCCATTTTGAAAGGTAACTATGCCTTTTCATCAAAGTGAGGTAGTGTTGAGTGTGCAATGATAGATAGTTGTGAATAATTGTCTATAGGTATGTGAGGTTCCCTCCTTGCCTGCTCACAGGTTGTAGGCTTCAAAACAAAGGCATAGATACCTTTCAAGATGGCACAGKGAACCATCAAGACTATGATAACAAAACTCTTTGTCTTGCATTGCATTATTAGTGCAATTCTGTGCAACTTCTTACAAAGTGATGGCATTGTAATCTAGAGTGATTGCACTTCAGTGACCGCACTTAAACTGTGTAACTGTACAAAATCTAAGTAGTATTAATTTGTACTAAAAGTGGACCTGAAGCAAGACGGTATTGAATGCTCATTTGTGTCAATTCAATTTAATTTGCTGCATGCATGATTAACTAAATAAAAACATCACTAAACAGCACTATTTAGTTTGTGAAGTTGCATGGTTTAAGTGCGATCACTCTTGAATGGTGCAACTGTAAATACTAAATAGTGATATTTAGTTGTATTTAGTAAATCGCGCATGTGGCACGCAAATGATGTAACCAGGGTGTGAGATGGAGAGCACAAGAAAAGCAAGCTTAAGAACATGATTGCTTCTTCCATTATTTCTCTTATGCACTTTCCCAAATACTCTATTACTGAAACAATGTATAAACTTAAAAAAACATGCCAACTTGAACTGCAATAAATAATTGTGTGTAGTATTTACTTACGATTAATTCTGCCGTGAGCTCTGTATGTTCTTCGTCTCATGCTAGGAGCTTCGTTAACTTGAATGTGTTCAACAACAAGTGAGTCTACATCCAATCCCTGTTAWTATTAAGAATAGTTCTGTTATAATATTGTCAATAACAATTGGTTAAGCATATCCAAAGAAGTGATCTATTTATGTCGGCTATCCAATGAAGATATACAGCATACCTTGAATTCAGCGTTACTTTCTGCATTTTTTAAGAGCTGAAGCAACAACTCAGCACTTTTCTTTGGCCAACGACCCTGTGATCCTGGYGCCTTGCGATTCTTAGCCTGTGATACAAGTGTAGTGGATAAGTTAGGCTGGACAAGGGACTGATCATGAGACAGTAAGATTTAATACAGTCATGTAAAATTATATTCAGTCCTTCCTACAATTAGAATGCAAATATAAATACCTGAGCTTTACGTCCAACACCKCCATTAAACCTCCTGAATGGAACAAGCTGCTTCTTGGCAACAACATCCTTCAGATAYCTCGTAGCTTTACGGACGTGCATGCCCTTGATAGCCATTCCTGTTTCTCTCGTGTTCTTGAAGTGAACACGGAGATTGGAACCCCGTGCCTTGCAGGATTTGGTGGGATTTTCGGGGTCAGTTGCGTAGCGAGTCATAGTGCTGGAGATAGTATTAGAAAAATGATTATTATGGATTGTAAGCGCGTTGGATGTTCGTGATTACATTGCCCTCAAAATCGATCGATTTTCCTTAATTATCATTAAAATATACATAGAATCTTATTCAGTGTGAGCTACAAAATCTCTGTAGACGTAGATTTAACTGAATTTGTGTAGCTTCAATACAAAATGGCAAAAACAATTAGTTTATTTCACTATYTGATTGTAGCGTTCAGACTAAATCCACTCAAGACCTCTTCACAAATCATCAGAAAAACATTCGTTACTTCTACACATCGTTCAAAATAAAAAGATAGAAATAGTCCTTATACAYTATGTTTTTCCTCTGCCAACTGAGAGGTTTGTAACTTGAAGGATTATCAAGATATCCATGGATTATAAACAACAATTTATGTTCTTTTTACCTTCACTATGTCCTGAAGGAAAGAGGACATTACCCAGCAGGCTTTTCGCATAAACTCCACAAACGCATGCGCGTTGCACGATCCAATATGGCTGCCAGCTGAAGTTTTTACACTTTTTAGTTTTTAATATTTTTGTCGAAAAAGAGCAGTTTTTGAGCTTGCTTTTAACAATTGTGGATGAAGAATATCTGTATCTTTAAAAAACATGTTTTGGGGTAAGTTTTTTCTTGAAATATGATTTCAAATCCAAGAAATGCAAGGTCATGCATTTTTCGCACGTTGCTTGCAAGGTTCTTTTGTTGTATGCACATCACAAGAACATCTCATAAAGCACTTTGCTTACATGTAATTCTTTCCTTATAATTATATTAGATATTTCAMGAAATCTTATATTTTTGTGGGAAATGTAATGGCTACGAATATTTCTTTTTGAGAAGGAGTTATGCGTGGGGGAGWCATCTGAGGAGGGTTAGGGAGGCCCTGWTTTTGTTATGCGATTCTTTATACTATCCATAATTGCCTTATACCAAGACTACCTTATATTAAATTGAACAGTATGTTACAGATTTAGCAGTACATTCTGCAAAACATGGCCAAATGGGTGTGGTTGTGAGGGGTGCATGTACCAACATTTTGGTGTGGGGGTCAAACGTACCTCTCCTTAAAATAAACACTGTAAAGGCTCTTACTTAAAATTTCCCATTCTATTACTTCATTTCATTCAATTTTTGCCTTTCAGGAATCACTCTAGATGTTGGAAAACGCTACACTCAGACTGTTGAGAAGTCATTTCATCTTTCAATGGCAGCCTTAGGTTTTAATAATCCCACTCCAGAGCCAGTCACTATAATGGTTGAAGTAGACAAGGCACAGTTTGCTCTTTGTACTCTTCAGCCTGGTAAAATCCCTCAGCAAACTTTGGACATTGCATTTACTGAAGGAGAGGAAATCACATTCTACACTGAAGGCAATAATGAAGTACATCTCACAGGTGAGATTACAAATCTTATTATTATTGTCAGTATACAGCTATTTCAAAAAACGTTGTCGGGGAGAACGGCAAACGGCGATTGTCGAAGGGAGATAGCACGACCGAAAGGGACTATGGTTACACTGCTTTTATAAACAAAATCTCACTTATTGGATTCGCCTTACAAAGAAATGGAGACTAAAAGGAGACAATGCTTACCACAGACTATCTTACAGTACAAATCAGTTGTTATTGCCTTTCAATTAGCAAAACCCATGGCTACTTTCGGTCGTGCAATCGCTGTTCGACCATTGGCATTTGCCATTTTATCCGACAACCTTTTTCTGAAATAGCTATATTTATGTTGTCTGATGAAAGAGGGGCTCATGAAAATTCTGCAAAGAATGTTAAATCCTTGTTACTGGTATATTGATGAAGTAAAGAAATTCCCTATAGATATGCCTAGTAAAACACTACATTTCAGTGCAAACAGTGTTCAAATTGAACACAAGAGTCATTGTGATTTTTATTTCATAATGAGATAATATTATTATTTWAATAGGGTATTTAGTAGAAGAACCTGAACCAGTCGATGTTGATGAAATGGAAGATTTCTCCATGGATAGTGACGAGTCTGCTTCAGAATCTGAGAGTAATGAATCAAGTTCAGAAGAAGGTGAAGAAGAGGACAACGAGACCCTTGATAATCCTGTAACATTACAAAACTTATTAGTTGGTGAAAATGTTGCTGAAGATGATGAAGCATCTGATGATGACTGGGATCCTGCTAAGGAGAATCCTTCACCAAAAAAGAAAACTAAACAGAATAAAAARACTTTAAAGCTTAAGAAAACTGAATCAAGTGAAAAAAATGCATCCAACGGAGTGCAGAACCCAAGTGGGGTAGCATCATTACTTCTTTCCGAACCTTTACCAAGTACTGATGATGAAAGTGAAGAATATGTTCCAGTTAAGAAAAAGGACAGCAAAACAAAGAATGTAGAAAAGAAAAAGGGAAAGAAACGGAAGTTGAAAGGAAGCAATGAAACCAAAGTTACATCTCCTAAAAGTGAGAAATTCAAGAAGTTTAAAAAAAGAACTCAGAAAGTTGGTGATTGACAAAAATTGCTCAGTTATGATCAGATGAAGTGAATGTGTATTGTTACTGTCCCTCCCCTCCCTRTGACCTGTTTTAATACAATCGGCTGTACATCCCCTCCCTCCCCTCCCTACGTCCTGTTTTACCCCTGTAMATGTATTCCTTCCTACATTGTATCACATATAGTGGGATGAATGCCATATAAATAACTTTATGACTTAAAAGATGTTTTCATTTTCTTAAAGATTTTTAAGCATATAAACAATGGACCTATGGAATTAAAACTTTGACTTTATRTAAAAGGTTCAAAAGGCTTTTATTAACGTTAAATGCAAAAGAACAAGAATTGAAGTAATGTTGATAAATAGGAAGAAGCACATTTTCATAGCTAATTGAAAACAAAGCTCAAGAAACAACCAGCAATTCTTGAATTGCAGCCATTGATTAAGAGAGAATGACTGCCAATTGGATCATTACAAACAAACACTATAGTCTGGCATCAATAATTTACTATTTTGCATATTAAGTAGTCATGGACAACTAGCATTTATTTTGATTTAGACCATTTATAATAAACAACTTTCAAAACAATTTTGTTTCACATTGTGTTTACTCTACTGTTATCTTGCTCTTTTGTCACAGTTGTCTCACTTTGTTTTAACTCTAACAGTGCCTTCATGAGGTCATCTCTTTTGGTCCCACATTCTTTAGTTAGAACATTTAATGAGTTCAGAAAGTGTTGGCCATATTCAGAAAGAGCAGTGCTTCCTGAAAATAATTCCAATCTTAGTGATATTCATTTGATATTCATAAATGAATGTTTCTCACCTGCATTATTACAATGTGTTTGTAGGCATTCAACTGCATTTGAAATCTTTAGAAAAAAACTATTAATGTCAATGTCTATATCATTTTAGTATAAACATACTAACGGTCTATCACTCATACTGCGCTGTGATTGGCTACTCTACTAATGGTCTAATTTGTGATAGACCATTCGCAGGAAAATCAAAATGGCGGCATCTCATTAATAAATTATTTTAAGGTTATTTGAATTTGTTTTCATTATTTGACCGATTAGTATGTTTATACTAAAACAATTAGACCTCTCGGCCTTGTGGACTACGAGCTAATAGCCCATTCGGCCTCGCGGACTCGGCCTCATGGGCCATTAGCTCGTAGTCCACTCGACCTCGAGGTCTAATTGTTAAAGAGTGCACACACTAAACCCATGAAAAATATTAACAATTATTTATGAAAAGTGTTGATTTACAATAGGGAAATTTACCAACCTTGTCTGCATTCCCCTTGAATGATGTGAGGAATTGCCTCAGATCTTCTTCTGAAGCTGTTGACTTCAGTGCTTCATACTTCTCAAGAATTACTGACAAGAGAGTTATGATTACTTGTAAAGCATTAAAGAGGAGTAATAGAAAGTTTCACTTGAATAATAATCTATCTACTTACTGTCCAAGGGATCACAGAGCATTTCAATTGTACTTTTTTCAAATTCWGAATATGCATCTCTTTGAAGAAAAGCATAAAAAGTGTGAGTATAAATAGCTGTGCCAGAGGAGRAACAGTATATCCTAGCTTTTTTCATGATTTTGCAAATTTCAACATCAAATGAAACAGCAACGACCGTTTTTTTCCCTTCGCTACATAGAAAGTTGAGCACCCTTTTAATATTACATGTATTTATCCCCTGGGAGAGAAGGAGGTTGCATTCCACAGTGGTTGCTACACWAGAGACACAAAATGTGTGCAGTTATAAATGATTTCAGAGGAGGTTGCTCCCCCTTGCAGACCATCCTTCTTACCTGACAGATGAGATAAGGGAGGTGGTATAATCCAGCTGTAACTGGTAAACCTTTTGGTGGTACAATAATTCTTCTTTTAGTTTCTTGATCTACAATGTGGTGAGAATATCAAATGTAAATGGCTCCATGATTATGTTTTGTTTTATGTTTTCCTTTAGAGCAAACCCAGGAAAACCATGAAATAAAATCAAACTAAATACTAACAACTAGCGGCTATTTAGAGACAAATTGTCAGTACCAAGCCAGAATGCAATAAAGATGAATGAAAAATGGTCCCATGTGGATTCATCTTCATTGTGTTCTGGTTCATTGACACTGACAAATTGTCTCTAAATAGCCGCTATTTGTAAGTATATAGTTTGATTTCATTTCATGGTTTTCCTGCGTTTGCTCTATCTTTCAATTTCATAACCATATTATTTAAAATTAAACCTTGCACATACTTCTATAGAATACATGTGTTGGTTGTAGTTAACAGCTTTCATCAGACTTTCAATTACTGCACGAATCTAAAAGAAAGGATGTACATTTAGATAATGTGGGGAAGTATTTCTACTCCAATACATTCTGAAATTCTGAACTAAAAATACCTCTTCTTCTTTTTTCTTGCTTAAATTTGGTGGCATGTGAGCCATGATATCTTCTAATGTCAGACCTTTATTGATTGGTTTTGACAGTGGAGGCTAAGCATAAATACATGGTATATTAAAACATTACTATACAACATTTGACACCAGTATTTATACCAACAACGAGGGTTTTCATTAAACATTACAAGTACATGATGTTAGGTGGACATTGTTTAAATGGGTTTTGAACACTTTGCCCCAACATTTGTGAAGTAGTAAGGGAGGGAGGTATGGAAGGATGAAGGATAAAGGGAAGGGAGGGGAGGAATGAAGAAAGAGATGGAGGTACAGAGAAAGGGAGGAAGAGATAGTAGAAGGGAGGGAGGGATGGAAGGGGAGGAAGGGAGGAAGCGATGGAAGGAAGGGAGCAAGGGGAGGATGAATGAGCATAATGTCTTGCATACCTACCCAAGGAGCAGATGGCAATAGTACTGACAACGACAGAAGATCTTCACAACAATCATGAAGGATTTCAGTTGTTGATTCTAGTGATGAGTGAAGGTGAGATCTGATTGGCTGGCCAATGTGCTTACTATTTTCAAGTAGGACTGGGGTAGAATCRTCAGAAGTCTTATTTGAACAATGTATAGTTTGCTCCAGTAGGACCAGATGTTTATACAGTTTACTTAACTTGGACTCTAGTTTASCCTGTTAAACATWGAAAAGAGAGACCTTGTAAGCTATYRGTAGACTGAAACAATATATTTTGAGGTCTGGCATCACTTCAAAATTACATATTGTATTAATTGCCATGTCAAGACTGTACATGTATTCACTGAATGCTGGATAATGTGTTATATATCACTTACAACTTGCTTGATATTGAGATGTTCTAGTTTACCACTACATATATCCAATAAAGTTATTTCTGGATGACTGTGGCTGCTTCTTTTTGTCTTTAGGAATTTTCCCATGAAGAGAGATGGCAGTGTGAGAAGTTCTGGATTGGTTATCTATAAATTAAGTATTAAWAGTGTRACAACACYAAAAGTTGAGGTGTTCAYAAGATGTTTTGTCTTCGATCAAGTTTCAAGCTTTTGGATACTCTCTGATAATCCTCTTTTATCAAGTACACTCCTACTTCAGTATTTCAGACAGGCTAAAATATATTAAATAACCTTCATTAATAAAGAAATTCTTACATTCATACCTCTACAGTCTTGAACAAGTAATGTCTAATGCCCTCGACAGTTGACAACAAATCTGATAATTTACTATAGGATGTTACGTCACTTGCAGTCTGTATAGATCTGTTGAGATTCATTAGAGAATATTAAATGGTAATGAACCCTTATCATCATAATCATTATTTAATTAAAACTTATCAATGTTAAGAGTTGCAAAATTAGTCTTAGGACAAGATAGATTTATATAATCTTTTTTATTGTGATTGTATTAAATGCAGTTACCTAAGATGATCAATGACGTTAAGAAGTTGACCTTCTATCTCTGTAAGGACATCTGTTCTTGCGTTTAGAGCCCATGATTGCAATGATACCTAAGTTCATCATAATTGTAATTCTTATTTTGCAGATCACAGTACAACCCGAGGGATGGAAAGTGGGATTTCATGATTCGTACCTGTCTCTCAAGCTGAATAACTTGAGATTTCAATAAATTTATTCTTCTTTCATCAAACTTTTCTTTTGGTGCTTCTTCAATGAGTTGCTTATATAGCGATCTAAATATAGAAAAACAAACAAAAAATTACATAAAACTTTTGGGAAAAAAAGGAAAATGTAAAGGTTTTATTATAGTTGCTCCATTCAGTGAATGGATAGATGGTCATGGATGGAAGGGTAAAGTATAATAAAATGAATACAGGATGATTAAATAACGTAAAAATGAACAAAGGAATACAAAAATGGATGGATGAATTGATAAGTGAATGGAAAAACAATGGAAAAGAAATGAAATCTTTTTTTTGCAATATCATGTCAATTCAATTTCAATTTCAACACAGCAACTTTACTTTATATATGTCAGTTCGGCTTTCAACTCTTCATTTTCATTCTGAAGTATCTAATATGACATTAATTTCATTGTTAATTAGATAATTACTTACAGAACTAAGAAATACACTCACATAATTTTTCAGGATTTCACAAGTATACAAGACTAGCCATTAATGGCAAACAATTACTGACAAAGCACTTAAATAGCTGACAGATATTAAGGAATTTGTGAAGAAATCTTATCTACCTTCAACTCATCTTGTTGGACTYTRCTGGATAAAAAAGTCTTTGAGCTAGTTTCGTTATCTATAGCGCTGGACCTCTTGCTTTCTGAGCAAACTTTCCTCTTTGAATACTAAAGAAAAGRAAGATGAAACCCTGCCTTTAAATTAAAAATACTARGATACACTTAAAAGCTTACAGAGCTATTTGGTGTTGAAGTCGATTTGATGGAAGTACCAAGACGACTCGAAGCACTCTTTTCAGAGCTTCGTCCTTGATTCATCACAGAATTCTTCAAGCAGACCTTTCCGATAGAAGATTGATAGTATACATTGAATTAACAATAACAACTTGGAGACCAGAACATGATTAAAACTCGGAAAGAAAATAAAAATTGTGAATGGCCGACATTTTGACAAAGGAGGCCCAAGACTTCTATTTGATTGGGATCCCTGTGGATCATTTAGCGCGCGGGAAAAAAGATGATCCAAGCATGTGTCGCAGAACTAAAACCGGTTCACAGAAAGATTACTTACTTTTTTTTAAAAAAAGACTTTATTTTACTAAAAAATTATTAAAAAAGTTTATTTATTATGTACAAATAAAAAAAAGCTTCTCCATTTACTTTCTATAATGTGGTTGGCTTCTAAAGAAGCCGTTTTTTGTTTTGTTTAGAGTTCAATGTTCATGCTTTTCTTTTCTTTGGAGACTTCTTCGTTCGTCTTTTCGCTGGACTTTTCTTCACAGGYCTTTTTGTCTTTCTCTTTGGAGACTTGGCTCTTCTTCTCTTTGCTGGTGACTTTGCGGTCGCTCTCTTCTTGGGTTTCTTTGCCTTTCTCTTTGGTGATTTRGATCTTCTCCTCTTGGCCGCTGCTTTCTTTTTTGGAGACTTCTTGGGTGTTTTTCTCTTCTTTGGAGTTGACTTCTTTTTTGGCTTGGCAGCTTTCTTCTTCTTTACAACCTTTTTCTTCGCTTTTGCTGCGGGCCCAAGCTTGAATGATCCTGAAGCTCCTTTGCCTTTGGGTTGAACAAGCACTCCAGCGTTAACTCCTCTCTTCAGCGCCATCCTAAGGTGAACACCTGGATCTCCAACCACGCGGTAGTTTGCTTGGATGTACTTTTGAATCGCTTGACGGGAGGATCCTCCGCGGTCTTTCAAGGCAACGATGGCAGCGCGAATCATCTCTTGGTATGGTGGATGTGCCGCCTTTCTTTTAGGAGACTTTTTGCGGCCGGCAGCTTTCTTTTTGGGTCTTGCTTTAGTCTTGCGAGCTCCTTTCCTTGCGCCGGGTCTTGGGCTACGGCTTCTAGATCTGGATCGTGATCTTGATTTGGACCTTGAACGAGACCTGGATCTTCTTGGGGACTTAGATCTTGACTTGGATCTGGATCGAGACCTCGACCTGGACTTCGAACGAGTACGACTTCTCTTAGGACTTGCAGACATHTTTCCGTTTCAAGAACAACAGTACACTACACAAGTTTTTGAGCGGAATGAAATTCAAAAATCGCGCGCAGGGTTTTTATCTGCAGCATGCGAACGCCTGAGAAAACAGTGAGGGTTGGGCAAGAAATGGACATGTTCTTGCGTAGTTTGTGTTTGTTCGTCAATTATTTTTGCCTTTTTTRTGGACCGTACGCTGAAATTACTAAAGGTCAGTAAACATATAGATAAAATGATAACATATGAATAACATTGTGAAYTYATTTAKRAATATCTTYACAAATTGCTRAAAAAAACTGGCATTTTCAAAATCCATTCTTATAAGCATCTATTGCGAATTTCTATTTTTTAATGAAAAAAATCTACATTGGTTGGACACCGTCGAAAACTCGAGGTCCCAGGACGTTAAGTGATGTTTGACGTTTGTTTTGAGCMAAAAATKWCAGTMRTTTGCTTTGTCATAGYTTGGATAAAAMATCAGAAAGTTGTCTAAACAAATACARYGCAAMATGTCGCCATAGTGGATCCCTTCTTCAAACTGAACGCCTCTTCCGTATTCAATCAATCATATTCTAAATACAAAGTTTTACTGTTTGTTCAGATTTTTGACTGACAAAACTAGTATTCAATCTTTTTAAACATTCATGGGCTGTTCCGATATAAATTGGACGTAAAAATCCRCTTCCAAAATGAACGCCAACTTTTGTCAAACGAGCTGTCAAATTCAAAAAGGCGCGAAAACGTTTTCGGTGCCTTGCAAACCAGATTAGAGCTTGCCTAGCTTGAAAAACAAGCCGAAAAAYTTTATATACATATTTTTTCAACAATTTGTTGGTCATATTGAACGAATTTAGATCTAGAATATACATTTAGATTTAGACTTTTATTTATAAAGCTGTGGCCGTACAGTCTTCTTGTTGCATAGTGATTTGATAAATGTGACCACAAAAGTTTTGTTGTTTATATTAATTATCTCAATATCGACTGTCTTCGTTATTATTCAGTGATTGTCTTTCAGAAATCTAGTTGTCTTTACAATTTAAAACAAGCGATAATGAGAAAATATATCATATCCGATTTTCGACCGACGCTGACTCCATTGTTGAGTTTACATTTTTGTGTAGCTCTCCCTTCCCGCTCTCAAAACTAGTCTGGTCTCGCCTTTTCAGATTACAAAAACCGCTAATAAACTGARCTGTAATCATAACAACAAGACAATCACAACGGTAACAGATGTAAACTAACTAAGAAACCGTAGTAAGCTTACATTGCACAGAACTCGTGGTCAAAACACTTATGCGGTATCCTGGCCCTTGATGAGGCATAAAAAGTCCGGAAATCGCGAAATGCAGATCTGGACGAAAATAGCAGCTGTGTTTCTCTAATAAATACATTGTATTTATGGAGTCTTTGCGTCATGTCCTGCCCTCTCTTTTATACGCTATAAGCTTYCCGTGTCAACTGAACTGTGCTGTAAAAATTCATTAGTTTTTCTTCTGTTAAAGCCCGCAACTAGCACAATAATATCAATTGCTTGATTATTATAATGATAAGAAATTTATATCATTAAAATACAATGGCTTATCGAATTATTAATGTCTTATCAAAGTATGTTTATGGTAGTTCAAAACCGATCATTTTATCTATAGTCGTATTTGAAATTCGTAGAGTCTGATCAGTCAAACACTCCCCTGAGGGCAAAAAATAAGTAGACGAAAATAACTTTGAGTCCAAATTTGGGGTAGAATAACTGAATAAATCGAGAACGTCTAAGTTCTTCTTTGTGGGAATAAATCTGAAACGACTGGAAGTGAAAGAGAAACCTTTTTTGAGACAACGAGAACTAGCGGAGCAGCAATRAAATAGATTTATTATAATTTTCTTGTCATATTCTTGAAAATTAGATACACAGTCTATGTTTACRCCGATTTTTATCGCTGTTTTATTTGAGCTTTCAAAAAAGCGGATGTGGGATCCCTCGTCACTGGGCGAGGCCGGGTCTTTCTCTCTTCCGCTTTTACCGTTTAAGGCCTGGGTCCTAGCTTTGGCTGGTATGCAATTTCTGTCCTTTGCATCGAGCGCATGTTGATTTGTAGTTTCGTTTGTATCCAACATTCCATCCATTGAGTTTAGCTTATTACTGCTTTGAACTGCTACACCAAGCTGATTTTATGCAGAGTTTATAAAGCTTTTGCAAAGAGCTAGTTCGCTCGTGTTAGTATCGGGAGACGAGAAATGGATTTTGGGCTGTTCCATTGGTAGTGCAAGCATTTTTAGTATTTCTATATGTTGCAATGAAGAAACGTCCGAATTTGACGATTGCTTGCCAGCCGGCAGCGGGTCCACCAACTCCTCCAACGTGAGTAAGCTTTCATGATCTATAGTTTGCTTTGAAAGTAGTGCTTTGTGCAGCGATCCAACACCTCGGTTGAAAATCGTTCGTTGTCGCTTAATTGCAGGACCGATGAAAATAACATCAATTTGCAAGAAATTGAGGATGTCCGCAAGAAACTGGACGAACTGGACATCGATTTACAACAGCGAAAAAGGCTGGAGGAGTTTCTAAACGAGAAACGGAAAATAGGAGAGCTTGTTGCAGACGATTTCGAGAAAATCAACGATCTTGGTGCAGGCAATGGCGGGGTAGTAACTAAGGTCTTGCACAAACCCAGTGGTCTAATAATGGCCAGAAAGGTATGAAAAAATCTCTTCGATGTCAAGAATTTAAGGATTTTATTGATTATTTGAATTATTCGTCTTCTTTACTATTTGTACAAAATGCATGTAGGTTTACATTGTGACACAGCGACGTTTAAAATCTTTGTACACTTAGTTATTTGTGTATTTTAATCTTGTGATATTTTCTGTCCATTACGTTAATGTCTTTGTTCTATTACTGCAGTTAATTCACCTGGAAATCAAGCCAGCAATTCGAAATCAGATTATCAGGGAACTGAAAGTATTGCACGATTGTAATTCGCCTTATATTGTTGGTTTTTACGGCGCTTTTTATAGCGATGGTGAAATATCTATCTGTATGGAGCACATGGTAAGATTTATTTTACTACAAAATATGTTTTYCTTGTATATTACTGACGTCAATCTTGATATTAGATAATGTGCTTTAATTTTGCCAGGGAAAAAATTAAAAGTTTTTATTTTAAAGAACGATTATGTGTATCAATAATTCACTGTTTAGCAAAGTCTCCCCCACACGTTGCCGTGCTCACTGGTAATATTATAATCTCTATTTCAAAGTCTACTCGAGTAACTTGAACGTGATAGCTACTAGCTTCTTGCACAAAACATCACCCCTACATCTCATTATCCGTGCTCTTATCAAAAATCAACTTGATGGTGGGTTTTTAAACCTAAAGCTTTACCGGAAATCTTCTTCCACGTTAGTAACTGCTTGAAAAGTATATTGATTCCAGTCCAAGCTGTTCTTGAATTCTCTCAAGTCTAAACATCATGATAAATTACACTAGTTTTGATAGCAAATGTATTAATCTAATTGTCAGATTTTTATTTGTGATGGTAAGGCAGCTGAAAGAGGCTTTTAGCCACTTCAATTCAATCTTGCTTGCATACATATACATAGATGTTTGACCACTTTAGATTTGCATATATCTGGGGATCTGCTGATTTTGAATGAAATTTATTGAGTGATTGATTGAAATATATACCAATGGGATCTCATAAAACATCTTTTGTTTTTATTTTATTTTCTATTTAGTCAGTATTYTCTGTTTATGTTGAATTACACTATRAAATGATATTATTCTTTCTTTTTCCTTGCTATCAAACACCTATTCTAATTTGAAATTCAATTCATGGCACTCGGTTAAATGACTTCTGCAATAACWGAAATATTGAATAAACCATGTCCTGAAAATATGCAATTTGCAAGAAATATTATTGRAACATTGGTGCATTTTAGATGATTATATGATGATATTCTCCACAGGAGTATAATACTATTTAGTCTTTGGTAAATTTTGCATAATTCATTATAAACATCTTTGATATTGCACTTTCATTACCGCTACACTTCACAGGCTGGGGATCTCCCAGGGTGCTTTGATTTCTGTTTTGAATATTTCAATTCTTTAATCGAACATTTATGGCTTATTTTGATGATGGTTGTGTTGGCCTGATGTTCAAGAGGAATTTATACTCCTCATATGGAGGAGTGTTGATAGTTATCTGTCTCATGTTACTGCTGAATATTATTAATTCAAAGTCTAGTTCTAGAATATTATTAATGCAAAGTCTAGTTCTAAGTTATGTTATTTTAATCATAAATAAGAGATACTTCATGAAGCCCAATACATGAATGATGTTTTGTATAAATTGTCTTTTCCATTTTATTAGGATGGCGGCTCTTTGGATCAAATTCTGAAGAAAGCAGGGAGAATTGAAGAAGAAATTTTGGGCAAAATAAGCATTGCTGTAAGTGTAAAATTTGTCATAGGAGCAGTAGGCTTCTCGCATGTGAKCTGTGAAACACAAGTTAATAACAAAACAGTTCAAAATTTTGTCTTCAGGTTATTGATAMCWGGGTAAAAAAYAAAAGCCATTTGGCAGACAAATATATGGTGAAAATTTCAGTTTGACCTTTCAGTTTTTTATGTGTGAAAGGACATTGTCTATTTGTTGCCAAAAGGTGCTTTGRCCAGTGACAYTYRAGCTTCATCAGACATTTGTATCCACCTGGTCATCTATGAATTTCATGCCCTGTGAWAAACCAGAATTGGTTAAAGACTGACRCATGTCCCCCTGAGGACCCCAGTTAGAAGAATTTGACAAAAACAGACTGACTATCACATTGTCAGTTAGATTGCCTTATAACATAGGATTGTTAGCATGAAATTTCCTAATACAACAATCATGGTTTTCAATTCATAATCATGACTCTCACTCCTTATAGTTACTGTTGCTTACATTGCAAAGAACTGTGAATGATATCTTGTCCACAGCTGGCCATTAAGGATGATTATACTATATGTTAAACTAGCTAAACTTTTAAAAACACAGTTTATGTGTAGCTTAAATCATATTAGGGACCACCCTTTGGTGATCATGTGTCATGAATGTCACGTGATTTGCCTCTGAACATGACTATAGTTTGAGTTGAATGCTCTAATG